CCTCAGTGCCTCCAGGATTTTGAAAAGGCAGAGGAGCTCAGCTTTTGGGTTAATGGTACAATTTCCTCTGCTCTAAGGTGTCAGGACTCTCTTGGGGTAAATGACCTCTGTCTAACTCATGGTGACATCCTGTGTAGAACTGTGCTCCAAAGGATGCTTAATGATTGATTTTTCAGAAGTTAGTTGCCAGGTTTTCCTTCTGATGGGCCTTTGAATGGACTTCAACTTCTGACCTTGCCATTAACAGCCCAATGTGTTTTCACACCACTCAGAACAATCCACAGGGACTATTAATTGACTAGAACTTAACGATCTTCATTAAAGTTAATGGAAACAACTAAAAAGAGCTTCCATATGCATCCCACATTAGCTGGTAGGGAGATCTATTTCAGTTGCTGCATCTGTGAGCTTAGAGCTTGGAATTTTGTTTTCTTGAGTGGATCCTGGAGTTGTTCAGTAGGCCTTAAAGTGGGATCAAATAATTAGGTGCCGTTTTGTACTTCAGAAAGCATTTGCACATTTTTATATTTTGCTGCCCAGTTCCTGTTTTAGCTAATTGTGTGTTGAGGAGAAAGATTAATAAATCAAGTAAGGAAAAACAACTAAATTCTTGCCAAATCCCCAAACAATAGGTATTGTTGAGCCCTAGTGTTCCACTTCCAGCTGAATCTGAGTTCTTGGAAACAACAATTACAGATTTTTGCTTCTCGTTCCCTTATTTTCCTTTGCTAGGTTGCTCGTAGGGAGCTCTGGTGGCCTGGTGGGTAGGGTGTTGTATTGCTCACCTGAAGATGAGACTCTAGTGGTTTAAATTCACCTGTGGCTCAGAGCAGGAAAGATGGGCAGTCTCCCCTCATGCGATTCACATCCTCTGCAGAGCCACCGAGGGGTCAGCGAGGAGGAGCTGGTTCCAACGGGAAGGCAGAGAAGGAGGGATTGCTTCTATTAGGACCCATTTCATTTGCATTACAAAGCTCACATGATCCACTAAAGGGAATGTCTCTAGTGGGGCAGAACCAAGCAATCCTTGGGAATTTAATTGTTGTTTTCCAGGTCATGGGCAGATTGTTATTGGCAAGTCAAAATCATGTGAAAGCCAGGAAATTTAGTTCATTTTGTTAAGAGGTGCATTTTGTTAAGCTGACAGATATTTTTAACTGCCAGCAGGAACAAACTATTACAGCAGGTAGAGAGGGTGAGAGTCTATGGGTGGCCCTTCTTTCATTCACCCCAAAGCCATAATTTAGAAGGGATCACGAAGGAAGAAGCTTGAGCTGTTACAGATTTTATTTTAATTAGAGAAATTATACTCCAGTTACCAGTGAAGGCGTTACAAATTTCAATTATTATGTATAGTGTAAATACTATATGATGATTATTTGTTATTTTGTTATTGTCTCAGTACACGGTCCAGTCTCAGCATAGTGTGAAGATCTGCCTTTAAGTCTTCTTCAACTTTGTGTCCTTTAAATGCAAAGTGATTTTTGGGGCAGTGCGTGTCTGGATTGCTTGCTATTTGTCTAAGCCAAGAGAAATACAGAAAATTGTGACTAAGGAGTTCTGGTGGTATAGTTTTGCTAAATGAAAGGTCAGTGGTTTGAATCCACCAGCTGAACTTTGGAAACAAAATGGAAAATCTGGTCATGTAAAAATTTATAACTCCAGAAACTGGATGGAAGGTAACTGTGAGTCAGAATTGACTCAGCAGTGGTTGATGTGGGTTTGGAATAGGAATTTGGCATTGCGAGCTAGGTTGGTAACTGAAGGGTCACCAGTTCAAACACATCAGCGTGATTCGGAAAGAACAAAGATCTAGGAGTCTTTTCCCATAAAGCTTCAAATCCCAAGTCAAATCTATCACCGTCAAGTTGATTCTGACTCATAACAGCCCTATAGCAGGAGAACAGGGGAACAGATAGTCACTGTTCTCCCTTCCAGCAGCTAGTGAGCTTGTACTGCCTACCTTTGTATTAGCAGTAGAGCACTTAATAGCTGTGCCACTTTAGGACCTCTTCCCTAAAAGTTACCCACTGCTGTAGAGTCCATAATGACTCACATCTTCATAGGGCTTCTGAGGATACCAGTCATTGCAGGAGGAGACTGCCCATTATTCTCTCTCTCATAGTGTTTGATGGATTTCCACTCCCCACCACTGAATTCCCTTGGCCACCTGAATTCCTTTCTGTAAAGATTACAGCCTAGGAAACCCAGTAGGACCACTGTTTACTTCATGGAGTTTGTGAAACTCAACTCTAGTGCCTAATGCAATAACCTAGAATGATGTATTTCAGCAAACAGAGGTTGCTCTAGATGGGCTTACCAAGTTGTGCCAAGAAATCTGGAGGACAACCACCTGACCAACTGTCTGGAAGAGATCCATATTTGTTCCCATTCCAAAGAAAGGTGATCTGACAGAGTACGGAAATTATTGAATAATATCATTAATATCATATGCAAGAAAGATCCTGCTAAAGATTATCCAAAAGTGACTGAAATAGCACATCAACAGAGAACTGCCTGAAGTTCAGGCTGGGTTTAGAAGAGGCTGTGGTACTAGGGATACTGTAGTTAAAGTTAGATGGATCTTGGCTGACAGAAGGGAGTACCAGAGGAATGTCTATCTGTATCTCATTGACTGTGCAAAGGCATTTGACTGTGTGGACCACAGCAAACTGTGGCTAACTCTGAGAAGAATGGGAATTTCAGAACACTTGATCATGGCTATGTGAAACCTATACTTGGACCAAGAGGCAGTTGTCAGGACAGAACAAGGAAACACTGCATGGTTAAAAATCGGGAAGGGTGTACACCAGGAATGTGTCCTATATCCGTACCTTTTCAATCTATATGCAGAACAGATCATCTGAGAGGCTATATGAGGAGAAGTGTGGCATCAGGATTGTAGGAAGTGTCTTCAAAATCTGCGTTATGCAGATGATACAACCCTGCTTGCTGAAACTGAGGAGGACCTGAAGCACTTGATGCAGAATGTCAAGGACTACAACCTTCAGTATAGATTGATGCTCAATATCAGGAAAACAAAGATTCTCACCACTGGGCTAATTGGCAGCATCGTGATGGATAGTGAAGAGACTGAGATTGTAAACAGCTTTAGTTTGCTTGGCTCAACAATCAACACTCTTGGCACCAGCAGACAGTAAATCAAAAGACATGTTGCATTGGGAAAGTTGGCTGTCAGAGACTTCTCTAAAGTATTGAAGAACAATGATGTCATTCTGGAGACTGAGGTGCATCTGATATAGGCCATGGCCTTTGCAATGACTTTCTATGCATCAGAGAGCTGGACAATGACTAGGAATCATAGAAGGAGATTTGATGCCTTTGAGCTATGATATTGGAGAAGAGGATTGAATAAACCATATACTTCCAAGAGAATGAACAGGTTTGTCCCAGAGACCAGGCTGCTCATTGGAGGCAAGGATTTTGAAGCTTCATCTGACATACTTTGGACATGTTGCAAGGAAGGACTAGTCCTTGGAGAGGGATGTCATGCTTGGGAGATTGAAGGGACAGCACCAGAGAGGAAGACCCTCGATGAGATGGATTGATTCAGTGACTGGGGTAAAGATGTGTCTGAGACAATTAAGATTGGCACAAGGTAGAGCAGAGTTTAGGGCTGTTGTATATAGGGTCGCTGTGAGTTGCAGGTGACTCAATGGCAAATAACAACAACAGAATGCTATTATTTGCTGTTGTGGTGTTGTTACATGCCATCAAGTCAGAATTGATTCATAACTGACCCACCAGAAGGTTTCCAGAGGCTGTAAATGGTTTAGGGGTGATGGCCCATCTTTTTGCCTCAGAGCATCTGGTGGACCTGAACTGCTTGCCTTTGGATTGACAGCACACCTCCTTACCCACTAGACTATCAAAGCTCCCTATTGTATGCTAGAAATAATTATTAAATTGTTACAACCAGACTAACCGTGGAGCTAAGGTTAAAATTCAATTCTAGTGTCTGCACCAGGGTAGCACTCTGCTAAGCTTTGTGGTGATATACCTAGAAAAAGAAATTACAATTGTATCTTCTTGTGGAATAAGCAGCTAATTAAAAAGATCTCAGAAGTGCAAAACAATTAAGTAACACTGTGAGGCAGGATATAAGTGGTTACTAAAACTTCAGAATGCAGAGTAAACATTTATCTGTTGAAATAAGAGCCAGGCAGGTGGGAAAGACTCAGCTGGGCAGGTTCATGAAGCTTGTTGGACTTGACTTGGGCCATCAAGAATGCATATGAAATGAAGACGTGTTCCAGGATATGATTGCGTAGGGTGGGATGGCTGAAAACAAGAGCAAAGGGTCCGTGGAACTCTGAATCGAGGGTGTACCATACTCTCAATGTAATGACTACCCTCGATCCCTCTTATGCTGCGTGAAGTACTGGAGATTTTCCAGTATGAAAAATCAAGACATCATAAGGTTGACACAGAGATTTTGTGGGAGAAAAAGGGTGCAAGAATGTCTGAAGGCCAAATTGGAGGCTTCTCAAGAAAGTCAAATCAGAACCTGGGTGGCTTGGGACTGGCAGAAGTAGGAAAGATGGAAACACTCATGTAGTGAAGTCTTCTGAACCACTTACCAGTTCCCCATCTTCATGCCTGATGTCCACTTAAGCACTGCAAACATGCTTAGGTCTTGTTAGCTTATAGAGAATGACAGAGAGTGACCAAACTTTAGAACTCATGTGATAGTAAACATTAGTATCCACCAGCTGCTCTGTGGGAGAAGGATAGGCAATCCCCTCCCGTGAGATTACTGCCTCTGAAAACCTGCTGGAAGGTCAACTATGGGTGGGTTGTGACTTGATGGTACACGGCAATTAGTCTGATCTACTTGGTGGAGCTGGGAGCTGGCTTGGGAGAGAACAGTGAGGATCACTGTGTCTTTTACATTGAACATGCTTCTCCTTCTGCAGAGCTGCTGCTGATGTTATAGCAGACCGTTAGATCTGATCCAGCTTCTTGTTCCTACTTCCCAGGTGTGACGAAGAGACGCTTACTCTACATGAAGACCAGACTGATTGCTCCAGTCTCAGGTACAACCCACCATTGCTCATTGGTTTTTGTTTATGAAATTCAGAAAAGACCTGGGTCTAGAATATTGGTCACTCCCTTGATTTCTAATGACTTGTTTTATGTATTATCTTTCCTTTTAGATTTTGTTATTGTTAACAGTTTTAGTTTGCATGGCTCCACAGTCAACACTCTTGGTATCAGCAGCCTGGAAATCAAGAGAAAAATTGCATTGGGAAAGTCAGCTGTTAGGGATCTCTCCAGAGTACTGAAGAGCAATGACGTCAGGCTGGAGACTAAGGTGCACCTGATCCGGGCTATAGTCTTTGCAGTTGCGTGCCATGCATTGGAGGGCTGGACAGGAGTAGGGATGATAGAAAGAGAATTGATGCCTTTGAGCTGTGATGCTAGAGAAGAGTGCTGAATATACTGCTAGGAGAACAAACAGGTTTGTCCTGGAGAGGGTGAAACTGGAATGCTCCTTGGAATCAAGGATTTTGAAGCTTTATCTGACATACTTTAGGCATGTTGCAATGAGGGACTAGTCCTTGGAGAGAGGGACCTCATGTTTGCGAGAGTGGAGGGACAGTGCAGGAGAGGAAGACCATCGATGAGATGGATCAATTCAGTCATTGGGGTAATGGGAGTAGGTGTGTCGGAGACAATGAGTTCGACACAGGATAAAGCAAAGTGTAGGGCTCTTGTACATCGAGTCGCTATGAGTCACAAGCGACTTGACTGTCAACAAGCAACAACATGTGGATTTTTGTCCTGTCTGCCCTCCTCCTTACTATCTTGAGTCCGACCCCCCCTTACTATCATGCACAGAGCCGGCATAATAGGTAAGAAATGCCTGTGGAACTGAACATTCACTGGCTCATCTCAATGCTCCCGTTGAGGAAGAGACCGTGAGAAAGAGGCTTTGAATTTATCCACCAAACATGTTATTGCATGTCTGGAGTCTGGCCTTTGCCATCAAGGTCCATCATCATGGTAGAGTGGGAAAACCTTCATAGTGAATCCTCTTTTCCACATTTTGGAGTAGGTTGGGGCACATTTCATTATGTTATTGAAACAAGTGAAAGAAAGCTGATGCCTCTCCCTCATTCTGTGATGTAGAAACTGAGGCACGGAAGAATTAGGGATCTTCTGTGCTAACCAGCTGCTGTGAGGAAGAATTTGGACCCAAGTTTGTTTTCTGGATCCTTGTTAGATGGCATCAAGTCCTCTACAACTCATAGGGGCCCTGTGAACAGTGAATGGAACGTACTGCTCCTGTGCCATCCTCAGAGTCAGTGCCAGGCGCAAGCGCACTGTGGTAGTCACTGTGCCACTCAGTCTTTCTGAGGGTCTTTTCTTTCTCAGATCTTCTGCTTCTCCAAGCAGGATGTCTTATTTCCAGGACTCAGTTTGTACATCCAAACCATTATAAATGTGGGTGGAGAAACGATCAAATAAATATCTACTTCCAGAAATTAATGGAATTCATTGCATTAATTAAAGGAATCATGGCTGAGATAGACAAGAATTTAAAAAATGACAAATGATATTAAGCTAAGAGCTTTGGGAGGGTGGTTGATAGAGCATTGTGCTGCTGACCCAGAGGGCATACTTTTCTGGTGGTTCAGATCCACCAGCTTCTCCTAGGAAGAATCATGGCAACTTCCTTCTGTGTAATTTACAGCCTTCTAAAACCTACTGAAGAGCACTGGTGACCTAGTGTGTGAGGAGTTACCCTTCTAACTCAAAGACAAGCTGTTCAAATCTACCTGTTGCTCCAAGGGAAAAAGATGGGCAGTCTCCTCCTGTGCAATTTATAGCTTCTGACAACACACTGGAGGATCAACTGTGAGTCAGTTCTGACTCAGCAGCAATGAACAACAACAAAAAACAACTTGCTGGACAGTAGGTAGCTTTGAGTTGGATGTCAGTGAGCTTTTGAGATTAAGCTAATGTTACATAGAGACCTCACTTGTTGCTATTGTTGATATGAGCCATAGAGTTGGAACTGATTCATAACAGACTATGTAGCAGTTGTGTTCAGAGGCTGTAAATCTCCCAGGAGATTAACTGTCTTTCTGCCAAGAAGCAACTGGTGAACCACTTGCCGTTGGGTTAGCAGCACAATGCCTTACCACTGGGCCACAATATAGGCAAATATTTCAGAGGGGCATCTGGGATAAGTTCCTGAAGAAAACTGCACATAGCTTTCTTAAGTTTTCATTCATTTATGGGGCTATAAAACGGTAACAGACTTGACTGCTAATGGAAAGGTTGTAGGTTAGAATCCACTGAGAGGTACCTTGGAAGAAAGGCTTGGTGGTTTGCATCTGAAAGGTCACTGCCATTGAGGAGTGAGTTCTTCTGACACTATGACAACTGGCAGGTAGATAGAGACAAACTGCTGGTGATACCTTTCAGCAGGTTGGGAAGCTACAGAGAAAGTAGCCTGAGTACAAGAACAACAGTAAGTTTAAGGTGACAGGAACCCTAAGATAGACATGGGTGTGGTACAGATGAAACTGGAGAGATAAACAAGGACCAGATTTCAAAGATTGCTAAAGGTTCGGAATGCACCCTGGAGGCAAAAGGAACACACAAAAAATGAAGCCTGGGGTTTTTTCCTTTGCCAGAATAATTTGCCTTAGGCTCCACTTGAAAACAACAAAAGCTTCTATTTGCTGGTGGTAGATTGGGGCCCACTTTGTAGGCTTTTCTAGAAGCTGCTTAATCTTTGGAACGTGGATACTGCATTAGTTTAAGATGAAGATGACATTGGTGAAGTGATGTGGCCCAGGATATATAATTTAATGAGTGAGAAACCCTTTGGGATGTTTGTTTTTTTCAGAACACAGGGCTCTTCTTCTGTTATTGTTGATAGATGCTGTCTGGTAGACTTGAACTTTTAGCAACCCTGTGAACAGCAGATCAAAACCTTGCCCACTCCTTCATTCTCACAATTTCTGCTATTTTAGTCCATTGCTGGACTAAAATATTGCTGGAGTTATTGTGTCACTCTACCTCTTTAAGGGCTTCTTTGTTGACTCTCCAATCTTTCAGATATGATGCCTCTCTCCAGGGATTGGTCCCTTCTGGCAACATGCCCCAAGTATGTGAAGTCTCACTAGTTTCATTTCCAATGAACATTCTGACTTCATATCTTTCAAGACATTATATAAAATATATAATATATAATATAGTAATACCATTAGACTCGATGGCACGTAACAACACAACAACAACAACATTAGTTTCATGACTTCTCTTTTTCTCCTTTGGGTATTTGAAAGAACCAGAATTGTTTTAGAGACAAATGCCCATTTCTGAAGGTGCCTTTTACGTTTAGAGTTCATGTTTCATATTGAGAAAAGGCAACTTGCTCCCTTTCCCTGCTTGTCTTAGAGCCTTCTGAGTCAAGAAGGCGATTAAAATGACCACATTTAGGGTATTTTGAGAGTAAGGTACAAAAACAACTCGTAGGCATTATTTTAGGACTAAGCCTATAAAAAGAAATATTTTAGATTTGAAAAACTGCCTTTTGTGTATTTTAGAATTCTCCTTGAATGGGGACTATTTAGGTAACTGTCAAGACAGCTGTTCTTTTGATTTTTACACATGGAAGCAGGGTGCCTGGAGGAGTCTTATTTGTTTGAATTCAAACAGTGTAGTTTCTAATTCATGGCTTGACAATGGTGACCCATTAGTGTCAGAATCTTATTTTTTGTAATGGTAGATCAGTTACCTTCATTTGCTTTGATAAAACCCAGGCATTCAGGGCATTAATCAGAAGGTCTTAGTGAGTAAAACGTGGCCCAGCCTTTTATATTACCCAGAAAATTTGCATTCTATGAAAAATAAACTCTTATTAAACTTTTAGAATGGAAGCAGTGGTGGTTCAGTGTTGCAGACTGAGGGTAAAGTATATTAATAATTAATAATGAGACAGAACACCAAGAATTAGATAAAACAGAGAGCGTCTAAAACGGGGCCAGCATTTCAAATCAACAGAAGCACCACAAGCCACGCCTCTCTGTGTATTTATTGAGAATCAGGGGCAGCAAATCATAAAGAGAATTCTCTTGTAAATAAAGCCCAATTTTTCTCTATTGTCAACCTCATACTTAGTTCAGGAAGTATTTCATACATGTTAACACTCCCTCTGCAGGGGGATCCTAGCTCTCTCTTGTCTGCAAGAAACAGCTCATTTACTGTGATCTGTCAGAGAAATTCCAACTTATAAATTTGTGATTCCTTCAATTCCTGAATAAGCATATCGTTTTTCATATAATATTTGGCATGAAATTTGGCTTCCCATAGTTCAGTGATGGAATTACCACCTTCTGTGGTAGAGAGCTGGGTTTTATTCCTAGTCAGTATTTCTCATGTGAAGCTTCCACCTAGTCTGTAGAGATTTGGGCTGACTATGGTGCTGATCAAGTTGCAACAGAATTTACAGTCCAAGATTTAAAGGGCTGAAGCCCTACTTCAAAACACATCAGTCAACAAAAGCCCTGTGTTTTACAGAGTTTCAAATTGTTTGTCCATGGGTTGTTGTGAGGGAACTGAGGACCACCACCCCTACAACAAACAGTGGAGATAGGAAGGGTGATGTTGAACCAGCAGAATCTGGATCTGTTGTACCTAGGGTTGCTGTGAGTCAGAGATGACTTGATGGTAACTAACAATAACAATAACAGCAACAATTTTAAGTATTTCTGAAAATTAGAAAGAATATTGCCAATAAGGAAGAAGCATCACACTTTGAACTAAGAGCACAGGTATGCTAATCTGGAGACTGGATGGGAACTCTGGGCCTGTGTGAATTAGTCCTTTATTAGACATGTTATTTCATCTCTGGGAGCTGGATGACAGCACCCAACCTGGATATCATACACCATTAGTGTGAGAGGAAAATATGGTACACGTGAAAGCATTTTCAAGTTGTTGTTGTTTGGTGCCATCGAGTCGTAGACGACTCATAGCGACTCTATGAACGAACGGCCTGAGCACTGTTTGTACATAGAGTTTCCGGAGGCAAGCCATTTCGGAAGTGGATGCCGCTCCTGCTTCCAGGCTTGTTTTAGTAGGGAAGCTCCTGCCAACACTGTCCACCATGGGTACCCATTACCACGATTGGCACATCACTGTCACAGTCTTCAGCATCACAGCAACCACGAGTTACCTCTGTACAGCAATGCACAGACCAGTGCTATACCACCTAGAAGAATGTTTGACAGGAAAACAACTTGAACCTGGCTGAGGGCCGCAGATGAAAATCACCCACCTTTGGCTTGGTAGCATAACTTCCTTTCCACTAGGCCAACGTAGCTCTCTCTTTGTCGTAAATGACTGTTTTAAATTTTCAAGTAGCAAATGAAAAACTAACAATACTAATAATATAAAGATTCTTATAACTATTGTCTGTGTATGGAGTTCTGGTTGCATAGCCTGTATACAGATTTGCAGTGCTAACCCAAAGTGGTAACTCTCTAAGGGTTTGAACTCCAAGACAAAGATGGCAGTTTTCTCTCATGCGACTTACAATTTCTATAAACCCACTGGAAGATCATCTCTGAGTTGATTCTGACTCTGTGGCAACGAGTTTTTACTACATATCCATATGTTGGTGGTGGTGGTTTGTGCCATTGAATTGGAGCTGACCCACAGCTGACCCTCCAGTGGGTTTTCAGAGGCAGTTAATCGCACAGGAAAAGATTACTTATCCTTCTCCACTGGAGCAGCTAGTGCCCTTGAACTGTATGCTTTCAGGATTGCAATGCAGCCTTTTACCACTAGGCCACCACAGCTCACTAGGCCAACATATATATGTATGTGTGTGTGTATATGTATATATATATGTGTGTATATGTATGTGTATATATATGTATATATGTATGTATATGTATTTGTGTATGTATACGTATATATTTATGTTTGTATGTGTATATGTGTTTGTGTATATGTGTGTGTGTGTATTTCTGGAACTTTGGTAGCCTGGTAGGGAGTTGTACTTACTGCCAACTCAAAGGCACGTGGTTTGAATCCACCAGCAGCTCTATAGGAGAAAGACGGGCATTCTCCTTCCCTGTAAATTACTGCCTCTGAAAACCTGCTAGGGGAACAGCTATGAGTTGATTCTGACTCATGGCACATAACAGATAGGATGGACAGTGCAGGAGAGGACGAACCTGGATGAGATGGATTGACACAGTAACTGGGGTAATTGGGGTAGGTGTGTCAGATCAGTGAGACTGACTGGGGCGGGGCAGGGTTCAAGAGCTGTGTTGTACATATGGTCGCTGTGAGTCAAAGGTGACTCAAGGGCATCTAACAACAAGGACAACATCTATATGCTTGTCTGTCTATCTATCTATCTATCTATCTATCTATCTATCTATCTATCTATCATCTATCTATCTATCATCTATCATCTATGTATCATCTCTCTATCTAGATACGTGTATGGATAAACGTGTATCGTAGCCTTGTAGGTAGGGAGTTGCTCTGCTAACCAAAAGGCAGGTGGTTTGAATCTACTAGCTGCTCTGTGGGAGAAAGAGGAGCAATCTCCTAGTGCAGCTTTACAGCCCTTGAAAACTAGCTGGAGAATAAGTTTGAACTCAAGAACAGTGAAAGAATGGGAGAGGGAGAGGGAGAAATGGAGAAAGGGAGCAAAGGAGGGAGAGAGATCTAAAGAGAGAGCCCTGCTGGTGGTGCATTCTATGTTGCATTGCTAGCTCAGCTTCCAGGTTCAAATCCACCCGCTGCTCCTTGAGGAAGCTCTCCTCCTCTAAAGAGTTATAGCTTTGGAAGGATCTCTAGCCTTGGGAGTGAGTCTGAACCAACTAGATGGCAGTGCGTTTGACATATATTTAAATAAGACCGGAAGGGAATGTGGAGTGATATAAATAGCGCACTTTGATTTCTAGTTTCTTTTTCCTGTAAAGTTTTCTAAGTCAACACTAAAAATATTGCTAGTTACCATCTAAATACAGCAGCAGTGACTACCACCAGCCTCCTTTTCCTGAGTCGTTTATTCTTTTTGAGTGTGTTTTCTAAATTGGGGCTTTCCTCTTTTAGAGATGAAAACAATAAAGAAAATTACCCAGACGCCGGGCCTCGCCTAGAGGAGCAGACCCCACCCCCGCGCGAGCCGCAGCAGCATGTAGAGCCGACCCTGCTGCTGGACAGCGTGCTGCGACCCAGCATGGGCAACTTCAAGTCTAGGAAGCCCAAGTCCATCTTCAAAGCCGACAACGGGAGGAGCCACGTGGAGAATCAGGTAGCAGGCTCTGCTGTTCAGGCCTTTCCATGGGTAAACGATTCTCTGGCAGGGGTGCAATTCTGGCAGATGGCTTGGGTGTGTTTTTAGCAGGAGATGATTAAGTGACTTGTCATTTGAGTTCAGGTGCTAGAGACTTTTGCGTGTTCTTGTTGATCAATGGTTTGGTGTGCTGGGCATCCTAATAATTGAACATCCTTTTGTTAGTGAGAGAGCTCTGCTGGCCTAGTGCTAAGAATCTGCCTCTAGGCATCCCAAAGGCACCTGGTTCAAAACCACCAGCTAACTGACTCAGTGGCACACAACAACATGTTAGTCAAAGAACAACAATGTGTTAGTGAAAGAGAGGAAGACCCTCAAGGAGATGGATTCACACAGTGGCTGCAGCAGTGGGGTTGGACATATTGGAGATGAGGAGGATGGTACAGAATAGGCCAGAGTTCAGATCTATTTTACATAGAGTCGTTTTGAGTCACAGTCGACTCATTGGTACCTAACAAAATCAGTGAATTGATGGAATCCTGGGGAAGTGAAAATGGGTAACAGTGTGTTTACAGGTTGGTGTCAGTGCAATGATTCTTGGTGCCACCCTGTTCTCTTCTCTGTGGGCCTCATCCTGTACCAATCTTACAGAATTCTTTTCTCTTGCCTTTCGAGTGGGGACCCTCCCCTGAGTTTTGCAGGCTGTCAATTGCTCATTCCATACCCCCCGCCCTGGAGTTGTTTAGTGGATTACCATCAGACAAGCCTTTGTTAGTCCTGCATCCCTTTACGGAATATGCCACCAGGGCTCTCTATCCAGATTTTTTAGTAATACTTATGGCCTAGTGACAGGAAGCTGTGCTGCAATCCTGAAGGCACATGGTTCGAATCCCACCAGCTGCTTTGTTGGAAAAGGATGGATAGTCTCCTCTCGTATGATTAACTGCCTCTGAAAACCTGCTTGGAGGATCAGCTTTGGGTTGGTTCCAACTAAATTGTATACAACAACATAATACATTTGAATCTTAGAATAATGTGATAAATACAGGAGGAAATTATTTAAATATATCTTAGAGTCTGTGAATGCTAAAAAACCCCTATTTTGTAAAATCCTACAGTGAATTATAACATTATTAGTTACAATGCTATTAGTATTTGAGTAGAAGTTTTCTTTGATTCTTCTTTTAATTGCTACTTCATTGTAAAAAAATATTGATGAACAATATGTTGTTGTTAAGACACTAGAAAATTTGACAAAATCCGTGACTGTAAAAATACTGGCAGCAGTGTAGACGCAGCACAAGCTTGTAATGAGTGTGGATGAAACGGCGTGATGTGATTGGGTGGCATCAGAATTGGATAATAGTATCAACTCTGATCGGAACTCACTTCTTGTTGCTGCTGTTAGAGCTGTGGAGTCAGTTCTGCCACGTCTGATAGAACAAAACACTGCCTAGCTGGGTCTTCCATTAGGAACACATCAGAAAGCTCAAAAAAGTAAATTAGCATTGAGTTTTAACCTTGTAGGTATCTTGATCCATGCAAATGAGGCTCATGAAAATGCTTTTGTTATAATGGTCTCTCAAATAATCTTCATTGCTATCAAATCCGGAACTCATAGGTGGTCCTCCCCTGGATTTTCAGATACTGTAAATCACAAGAGAAGAGATTGTCCATCTTTTTCCCCACAGAGCCATTGGTGGATTTGAACCACCTGTCTTTGCCTTTCGAACCCGCTGAAGGGTCAATGAGTTACTTCTGACTTCATGCCAATGAGAGGTGGAGATAAAGTGATTTTTAAATTTTAATCTTAGGGGGAAAACCCCTCAAATAATTTATGGTGTCTTTAAAAGAGATAATGTGGCGTCATTTTTCTAGGAGGTTCATGTTCTCAGCAGTGGGATTATACCTGTAGTCCACCCTACACCATTTTGGGGACAAGGATGCTCCACAAATGTTATCTTTGCTTTTGTGTTAATTTTTAAATGTTAACATTAAAGACAAGGTGGGAGTCCCTAAGAACAATAGATTAATTATGTAGTAACTTGAAGTCCAACCCTGCTTAGCAAATGAGCACCTGGTGTTCTTTTCAGAACAACTTTGAAGAGGCAATTTGACCTTTAAATTGTATTGTGGGCCTTGTGCATTTTATCTCCCTCCTCCCTTGGCATCATGACCTTATTTAGTCAGTTAATTTTGCAGTCAGATGAAAATGCCTTCCATGTTTGCGGAAGTGTGTTGTGATTCTCTTAAGCTTAGTACAACTCCGGCTGCAAGGAGAGGTGAGCTTGAAGTACTGTTTAAGTTAGGAAAAGCGGTTGAAACAGCTGAAGCAGTTGAAAAGCAGTTAAATGTCTCCCAGCCTTTGGGTAATTAGGAGCGTAGTGTTGCGGAAGACACAGAATCTGAGCTACCTGACCCAGGGTCTGAGTGGTCCCTGGGAGGCTCTGACTCCCTCTCTGCCATGGGTGCCTGTGACACTGTGGCCTTCAGGGTGACCAGACAGCTCTCCTTCAGCCACCCTCTTTCTTGTTGCACTGTTGCCTGGTCTCTTGGAAATTATACAGTACTCAGTTGTAATAAGGTGCTAATGTGGCATGTAATTCTCAATCTGATGTCCACATTGGAGAAGACTTTAGTGAAGAGATGCTTATGTTGTCTTTGCTCATGTGCAATATTACGATCTTAGACTGCACATAATGTTTCAAATTCATTCGGTAATGAATGTTTTATTCTAAATTTCCTCCCCCTTGTCTATCTGCTTCTATCAACATCACCTAAAAATCTGCCAAATTTCACCCTTATGAATGACTGAACAAGCTTTGATAATGCTATTTTAGGTCTTCTACATTTGGGGAAAAGTTGAACGCTAATGTCGGAGAAACAATTATTATTCACAAAGTCGGCTACCACGTGTTTAAGCATTTGCTGTGTTCCAGGCAAAGGCCATCCTTTACCACAGTTCAGTGAAGGGAGTATTATTTTTCTGTACAGATGGAAATACTAAACATCAGAGATACTAGATAACCTGGTTAATACACAAACAGTATTTGAATAAGTTTAGGAGAAATATTTAGTGCTATTATCTGTAAAAAGCAGTGCTTCTAAGAAATATATTGTCCAGCTTACTCGCTCACTCATTGTCATCGAGTCGGAAGGAGTCGTAACTGATGCTCCAGTGGGTTTCCAAGGCTGTAAGTGGCGTGGGAGGAGATCGTCACCTTTATTCTGAGGAGTTGCGGGTGGACTTGAACCACCAGAGACACACAGCCTTTGAGTTGACCGTGCAGCTCTCTATAGAAATGCCTGTAGAGCTCCCCATCCAACCAGGAGCCTACAGATTTATCTGCCTCCTTTTATTACTCACATCTTAATTTTTATAGAAAACCTATGATTTCTCTTTCCCTTTATTTAAACTGTTGGTATTTCTAAGCAGTAATTACTTAATTAGAAAGGGCTCTGTTGGAGAGGATTTTAAAGTGTTTTTTTTTCCCTTTCTTTCTTTTGTCTGCCCTAAAGCTTTGTGACATTGATAATCAAATCTAGACAAACTGTTAATTTCCTTGGGGCAATTGATAAACTCTACTATGTCTGTGGTTTTATTTCTATCACCCAGAGGTTATTCATTATTTGTTAAATGATCTAACAAAGAATTTATCTCTTAACTGAATGAATCATGTTTATATCTTACAAATATATGTTTTAAATATGAACATATATAAAACATATATTTACATTTAAAACATATATACTCATAAGATGTAAACATGACTCATTCAGTTAAGATATTATCTCTATCTGTCTATCTATCGTAAGCATGATCTATTCAGTTATTAAAAGATTAATTTTAAAGAAGATTTAATTATGATTCTCTTTCCTATTGCTACTGTGGTTCTTTGGCACTGACTCATAACTGACTCTCGATGGTTTTCAGAGCCTGTAAATCATGAAAAGGAATTGCTCATCTTTCTCCCACAAAAAATGTCATTAAAAAAAGTAAAATATTTTCTTTAATTTATTCATTCATTAATGGGGGAACCAGGAAGCTGTTACAAATTCAAAAGAGAATGTAAAGTAAAATACATTTATAATTCACTAAAAAATGCTGACTAAACTTGAAAATTGATGCAGAATTGACAAAACTCTCAGTATCTGTAAGGCAATATCAGTTATGATCCGTTGGCTACATTCGCCTTTTAGTAGATAGGATTTATTTGCATTGTCATATGTTTCTGTAAGTTAGCCTCTATTTGTAGAAAGTTTATAAAGTAGCATAGTCACAGTCATACATAAATAAATAAATATTTTTTTCCCTCCCAAACAAAGGATGGTTGAGCTAGTTAAAACACCAACTAAATTTCAAACTGAAAAAATCAAACTCGCTGTTGTTGAGTAGGTTCTGATTTATTGAGATCCTCCTTTGGGTTTCTGAGGCTGTAAAATTCTTAAGGGAGGAGATTGCCCATTTTTCTCCTTTGGAGTAGCTGATGGATTCAAACTGCTGACCTTTGGGTTGCCAGCCTTTTATGTTACACACTATTCTACCAGGCTTCTAGTAAATGTTAATGCCCTTTACACTTTTTCTTTAACCTCCCCTTCCATATATCTTGTGATTGAAATGACTTCATACAGTGACTTTTTTACTGATCACAAAATAAGGTTGAACTCATTAGATTTGGTTTGATGATTGCTTGGTTTTATTTAAGCCTCTTGTTTAGAGTCAACAAGACCTCCTGGCAGTCCCTTATATTTAAAATTTGGGCCTGAGGGATTCTATTTTAATCCCTTATTACTATATTTTGGAGGAACATTCTTATAAGTCATACAGCTCTCTGGCCAATTTGGTGTGATGAGGTAATCTGGGTTTCCTGTGACACTGAATTTTGTGCCATTTGGGTTTCAAATACCATAATGAAACAACTGTGCCATAGGTGTGCCAAACACCATAATGGCTACCCATCGTGGGCAGTGTTTGGTGGAGCTCCCAGATTGATTCAAGTTTGGAAGTAGGAGTGGCA